CTTCCTTCCCATCGTGACAACTGAGTATAACTGAAAACCCAAGTTCGCAGTGTGTGAACCAGGCATCTTGCTGCTGACCTGGTCTAAAAAAGCTAGGCAGCAAGATGGGAAGCATCGGGAGACGTTCTGATGTGTACCTGCTTTTCAACCGTTGCCAAAGCTGTTCACTCCACTCTTCAGTAATGTGCTAGTGCGGCGCTGTTGAAACACCTTCGGTTTGACTGACCCAGCATTCGTGCCGTTCATTCAAGTCAAGTGCTACGTAATCACTAAAGTGCTACTGCATCGCTGAACTGAATCCCTCTCTGAACTTAACGCTCATTCATTTGAGCTATGAATCTAAAGTGTGCGTCATTTGTCCAACCACCACGGTGCGGTGTTGAATCAGTGTTCAAACATCGGGAGAATGGAGGGTTTTCGGGTGTGCGTTCATAGTAGGCCTCCCAGTTCAAACATGGGGAAGAAAAGTGGAGCACTGGGCTAGCCAGGGGGTCCCCTATTGAAATACCACATGCCATCATTGGCTCACCCACATGCTTCTATACCACTTGATCTTCATCTTCGCCCGCGACCTCCACACTGCGGCGGATCCATCTGCGGCCAGCCCAGGCACGCCAAAGGCAGCGCAACGCTGCAGAAGTTGCTGCAAGTCCTTTCGCCCGTGGGCGAAACCGTGGGTTCGGCTGTTCTTTTGGAGGCCCGAACATTCACACCGTGAAAAAGGTCCTTTAAACAACCTGAAACAAAAGGACCAATTCCCCTCTTTGGAGCACCAGGTGGTGCCCCTCGAAATCTCCCAAACCCGGGGCACGCGGCAACGACGAATCCCGAGGGGTGGGTCTCGTACCCTGCCCAGTCACGGCCTCTGGCCGAAGGCTCGCTCGAAGGGCGCTTGTTGGTCGACCCGGAGGAAGAGTTCTCGTCCGAAGAGGGCGTCGGGTCATGGGTGAACCGGCCAAGATGATCATAAGCGGATGATCCATGAACAAGATACCAGCAAGGGTATACCATACCCATCTCACACTCCCAACGCCACCTGGAATGGGCTGGATCAGTCTTCCCACCAATCCCAATCACCACTCTCGGATCTCTTCCTTGTTGCTCCTGGCTTTCAACTGCTTTCGCCACCTTCAGAACACCCCACGAAAAAGACACATAAGAGAGAGTACGTCAGCGCACGCCACTCTCAGACATGCCGCCGCCACCCGCCCCCCACGCGGCATGTCTGCACCCCTCCGACCACCGGCGGACCGTGCGTGGGACCGCGCCGCCCGACACTGGTAACTGGGGAGGGAGGGACGTGTCATTGACCGGGCACAAAGGGTCCTGCGGAGTGGCCGCATCCAACTGGCTGATGCACAGGACCGTGGTCACCGCCATGCTGTCGATCACCGGCACCATCTGCGGCAGCAAGCGTGCCGCGGTGGCGGACGCGGGCACGCGGTGAAGGAAGCGGATACCGTGGGACCGGTAGAGCTGAAACGGTGGTGTGGAGGGTAAAGGGGGGAAAGAAGGGCAGAAGTCAGTGAAGAATGACCGAGCAGGGTTGATCATTCATCATTGACAAGTCATTAAAAATACATGATGCACGTATATGCATGACTCGTGATCCAGCTGGTCTACGGTGGAATGGGGTGGTGGATGGTGGATGGTGGTGCTTCGGTGGATGCCCAGTGATGGACCGACCCCAAAGCCGGTTCCGCTTCGACTGGATGTCTGGCTTCCGCATGGCGTCGCCCGTGCGTCGCCCGAGGTCCAATGAACGAAGTCCAGGATCAACGATCCGGGCCTCACCATGTCACGCCTGAAAAACGAAGAAACGAAGAAATATCCGCTGTACCAGCTGGATCTTCCAACTCTTTGTATTTGGCTGGTTTAGATCAACAGCTCAGAGATTTGACTCAGTCCAGTCCAAATCCTTCAAAACCGATCGGTCTCATGTCTCGCCGGCCCGCGGACACTCCGTTGCTCCGCCACCTCTTCGTCCCACACAGACCGGGTGCCCCGGGCTGGGCAGGGCGGAGGCGCCACGGTCCACGGTGTCGAATCACGGTGTGGCTGGGAGAGGCAGCGGCAGGGAGCGTGGTTCTGGACTGCGTGGAATGTGTGTGGAGTGGTTTTTGGCTGATTTAATTCGTTTAAAACAAAATAGACATCAAACAACACAAAAAACATGTTTGGAATTTCAAAAATAGAAACTCGAATGGGAATCGTATATGCATTTTTTCATCAATAGTCAATAGATTTCTCACGCCCGCGTCCATTTTGGTGTCCCTTCAGGGCCCCTACCGTTTGCCCAAGAGTTCTTGAACTTTACGGCCCCTATCAGTCGATGGAGATTTGCACTCTCTTTTTGTTGATTTCGGCCCGGAAGAAAAGAAGAGAACATGCGCGCAGCCAATCTGCTTTCAGCATGCATGATTTTTCAATCATGCAGCTTCCACATGTGAGATCCAATACGTTCAATGTGTTAACATTCCAGGACCCCCGGTGACATGAGGGGACTTGGTCTGTCCAACCACCGGAGAGAAGAGACATCACCGACGTCGCACGGTTGACCTGGACCCGAACGCCTCCGGTCGCTCCCTCCGCACCCGAAGGGCCTCCTGGCTTCGGTTCGCTTGCTTCACCTTCCGCGGATCGCCGTTCGGCCCCGGAAAGCCCGGTAAGCCGACTTCGCATTGGAGGCAGTGGCCCGTACCGTGGTGGAGTCGAGTCTAATCCTATCCCTAGAAGTCCAGTTGGACTATATTTTGACCGGCTGGAGTAAAGGAAGTTTCCTTTCAGTGCCCTTAAAGACCATTCTCTTTATAGTCTTTGACTCCCAGGGCTATAGCAAAAACAGTTGGGAAATCGGTGGTAGTGGATTTTTTGAAAGCTGATCATGACCCCTGAGCTTGAAAGAGGATACATGCGGTGGTTGAGCCCCCACATGGAACCTGGCATGGACCAGACTGGAAGAGGATCTTCCTCATACCAACCCGGGCGGCGTAGCTTTCAGGTGCATGGTTGATCTGACTACAGGACTTTGGCTTCTTAATCGGAGAACTTGCTTTTTCTTCACTGAGGCATCACATCGTCCAACTTGACGATGTAGAGAGGTTTCTCAAAACTTGAAATCCTTGGGACTGCTGACTGGGACGGGTGTGAAGATGGAAGAAGCATGTTTGAGCTTCCAAAAATACACTCACAATTGAATGTGCGTGCATCTTTACCAGACTTGCTACCTTCAATGGTCTGGTGTGAAGGCACAGGATTTGAATGGCCTTGACAGAAGTGGTCCGGTGGGCGCATGGATTGGATGGCATGCCGTGGCGCCACCCCAGGTGCCTTAGCAATTCTAGATTTCTCGGCTCCATATCCCAGGATCATCCTGTCTGAATGCCCTGGCTGGACTACCCAGCCCACTCCTTGCTCTGCTGTGAGTCAAAACCGTGATTTTTTTTGCTACAGGGCCCTTCTAAATTTTCCGCCTGCGTAAACTTGTTGCTGCTTTTACTTCGCGAGATACCGCGCGGATAATTCCTTTCCGTTTTGTTAGTCAACAACACGACTACCCCACTCTTATCGCACCCGCCCAGAGGGCAAGGGACGCGTAAGAAGCGCGAACATGCTGCGCAAGACCGATGCCTCAAACTAGGGTAGGTTGACCTCGCGGTCAAGTAGGTTCCCACAACCATGCATCTCCCTTGGATTCAATAAGTCCAGGTATACTCATCTCTTCAGGAATGGTCCTTTGGGCCCCTCCCAGTTCATTCGGAGCACCTGTTCTTTCCAAAACGGAGAGCCCCATGAACGCGTCAAAGGTCTTTCCCGCCTATTCCCTCCCCATCAACACCTCCACAGTCACACTGACCCTGCCAATCCGCGCCGCGACTCTCAACGACGAGGCACCGACCGACGCGCTTCGCGGTTCGGTCGACGTCTCCGGCGCCTTAATGGCCTTGGATCCAATGAAGACGCCCTGGCGGTGTTCACGGAATTGTGGTCATGAGGGTAGGGTTTAGGGTTCAGGGCCTGAAGAAGGGGTGGTGAATGGACACCCCGAATCACCTCCGGCTATGAATAGACACCCCGACAGGAGGGTCCTGATATTGGGTTTGTTGTAGGTTCTTCTATCCAAAATGCTGAAAGTCTGTTTGTTGGGCTTTGGGCGTCGAGAATTTGGCTTATTCTAAATACACAAATCGTGGCCCAACTAGCCATGCCAATCCACGCCTTCAGACCGTCCCAACTCCCTCCTCCAGCCTCCTCTCGCCTCTCCTCCAATTCCCCCCCACCCACTTACACTCTAAATACTCTAATATCCCTAACTCCCACCCCTCGTTTACCCCTCCACACTCATGACAGTTCCGCTGTCACCCCCTGCACCTCTCAGGGACAAAGGGACCACCGGGACCGCCCATGACCAGCACCAACGACCGCACACGCCCGCGCCGCCTGCATCTCACGGATGGCCTCTTCCGCCTCACGCTGCTCACCTGGGAACGGCGGGACGCGAGGAACGGAAGCGTGGAAGGAAGGCGTGGATGAAAAAACACCTCTTGGCGAATGGCATTGTATGTTGCATCGCATTGGGCTGGTGGCATGTTGTATCGCTTGGCTGATTTGGCTGGGGCCTAACATGTTTATCCTAGACTAATAGTTAAAGCATTGATCGAAAGTAAGTGATCGAACAGATTGTGGTGAGCTCGATCGCCCGCGCCGGGTTTCAGCACGTTTCAGCCCCCCCCCCCTTCTGAGCTCGTCTCCACCTCTCCCCACCTCCACCTCTGAACGCCGCACGGTTTGGCCCCAGCGGCGAAAGCGAACGAAGCCAAAACCCCGGGAGAACTGGGTGCGCTGGTCGCAAATCACCTCCATGCAAGCGATGGGAGCGGCAAGAGCGGCAGAGCGGCGAGGAGAGGAGAGACCGCGGCGAGATTGGGAGAGCGGAGAAAAGAGCGGCAGAGCGGGCTGGGCAGATCGGTGATCCACATGGAAAAAATGGGGTCCCACCAGTGAACTCGAAAGACGGAGGGAACAACAAGAACACATTAATATATATTATATATCCGCCGACCCCGGCCTATAGCCAAAGCCTGGGCGGGGAGGCGCCTGGGACACCGCAGGGTGAAGCAGTTGGCCAAGCCTAGCAGAACCCTTCAAGCACTTCCAAAGGCGTAGGATGCAGCAGTTGGCCAAGCCTAGCAGAACCCTTCCAAGCACTTCCAAAGGCCTGTCCGAGGCCTCACCAGCTGGCCGGCCTGTTGCGGCCTCTCTGTGGCCTGTCCGAAGCCTGCCTCCTCTCTTCTTATGGGCTTCCGAAGGCGACGGTTAGGCATTTTGGACCGCCTTCAAAAGCTTTTCGGCCTCTTGCGGCCTCTCTGTGGCCTGTCCGAAGCTTCTCGGCAGCCGGCAGGCCTCTTGCGGCCTCTCTGTGGCCTGTCCGAAGCCTGCCTCTTCTCTTCTTATGGGCTTCCGAAGGCAACGTTAGGCATTTTGGCTCGGCTTCAAACGCTCCCCAGAGCCTCACCGCAGCCTTGCCCTCTTCTCGGCAGCTGGCAGGCCTGCCTCTTCTCTTCTTAT